TCTCTCTCTCTCTCTCTCTCTCTCTCTCTCATGTGCCAGGTACTAACCTGTGAAGATGGCGCTGTGCTGCAGGTACCTCGAAGACGACGCTGGAGCTATGGCGCTGCAGTTAAGTCTCCCTGGCCTCCACCCAATCTCTCTCTCTCTCTCCAGTACTACTCTAGCTCCTACTAGCGCCCAACGCTGAAGACTACTGCTAACGCTACTACTACTACTGCAGCGCTCCTCCAGAGTGCTGCTGCCGACTCCTGAAGACTACCTCCTGCCTCCTGAACTGCACGTGAAGTGCCTGGGAAGTCCCTATGAACTACCTGCAGCCTGCAGGGTGGGCCAATCTTATATAGTGCTGGCCCGTCCAGGAGGCTGTTCTTGCCAATGTCAAAACGTGCCAGACCCAGGCGTTGAAGCTGAAACAAAGGTTGTCTTGAAAACAGGCCCAAAATGGCCTTTGCTAAAACCCTGGCCTGAGTTTCAGGGCAGGTCGATCTTATGAGGGCCTGAAATGGCCCTCCGTTTCAGGCTGAAAAGACTCAGGGCCTGGAGGGCCCTGTTTTAGGATGAAGCGACACAGGGTCTGTAGGCCCTTGTTTTCAGGCTTTCAGGCTGAAACGACACAGGGCCTGTAGGCCCTTGTTTTCAGGCTTTCAGGCTGAAACGACCCAGGGCCTGAAAATGGCCCTCGTTTGCAGGCGCAGCATGTTGCAGGCGCAGTATGTAACACGAGTGAGGAGGACTGGATAAAAAGTTATTCTCATCAACAGCTTGAACAACAACACAGTTCACAGTACCACCGACGTCTTTCTAAATGAGCTGCATTTAGGTTGGAAGCCTAGATCAGCACTACAGTTTCTTGTTTCTGAAAACCGACCAGCTACAATGCCTGGAACCATTGAATTTGGTGTCCAATACAAACAGTTGTTGCAGCAGGCTGTTCAGCACATCAGGACAGCTAAAGACGCCATAAATCCATGATAGCATCCGAGAACAAACACCGGCAACAGTCCACATTTCAGGTAGGAGAATGAGTCTGGGTTGAGTCTAGCGATCTAGGACAGGAATTCAGCATCTCTAGAAAGCTAATGCCTCAATACTTTGGTCCTTGGGAAGTCCTCTTTTTTTTTTTTTTTTCGCACCAGGTCCAGTGGTGTATTTTCATCCGGGTCTGGAGGGTCCGGGCCCGGAGGTGGGGCTGGTGCAGTTCCGGGGGGTACTGTGTCCTTTGGTCCTTGGGAAGTCCTAGATATTGTGGATCGTGATCCATATGGTCTCTCGAACTCTCTCCTACATGATTAGAATCCGTGGTCACCTATGCACATACCCTGTATTTCACGCTTCAAAGCTTGCACCTTTCGCTGATACCGATCAATCTTGCCCTCAACAATTGATGGACACGTGGACATCGACAACATTGTTGATCATCGAGACTTGCCTGTTCCAGAGCCAACTGGCAGAGGAAGACCGCGAAAACAACAAGGGAATATACGGGGTTAGATTCAGCCATCATTCAGATCCAAACAAAGATCGTTGGTTCACAAAGAAGGAGCTGACAAAGACAGCACCTCAGGTGCCGATTATGAACAGACACTAGAGAGGAAAGCTACTGTGTAGAAGCATCTCAAAGGAATTTCGAAGCTAGAGGAGGGAGTGCGAGGAATGAGCCGGTTGCAAGGCCATTAGGTCCCTGCAGGCACACCGAGGGGACCCTGAGCAAGCCTTGTGCCCTCCCTAAGTGAAGGCGGGCCTGCATTGTTTCCTCGGGGCCTATTTTTGCCACTTCTGCAACTGGGGGTGCCAGACAGATTAAGGGTGCCAGTTGGTTACAGGCCACATGCGGGCTGTGTGACCACAACCTCGTGAGCCCTCAAGAGCCTTCCAGGCAGCGACGTGGATTCAGGCATTTAGGCCAATCAGCTGGCAGCAAGTGACATGAGCCACATCACACAGTTGGGCGAGCCTAACTGCGATCCCAGGGCAATATCTGAAACTGGGCCTGGGCGCAGACACTTTGGCCTCACTGCAAGCTACTGGGCCCTAGACCTCGCTAGTACTTTCCAGTTAGGAAAGTGCCCAGCGCCCAGTTAGGCATTCTGTCCGTGGGAAACTGGGCGACAATGTTGCTTCACTGTGCTCTGAAGGTTGCCTAGGCACTGAGGATGGATAGCGCACGTGGGCGCTTGTGGTGAGAGGCGCTGCAGAGCAGCGGGCGCAAGCGGGTGCATGCTGAGGCTGGATAGCGCACGTGGGCGTTGTTCCCACGTACCAAATTGCCTGAAACTTGGTGATTCAACAGTTTACCCTGAGGCGCTTCACCCCCAACTGACAGATTCAACGAATTCGAACTCCCAGGTGCCACTAACTGACAAAGTCAATGCAGCGCCACATCACCCTGTACTGCGCTGCCTGGAAATTCGGGATCCTGACCCAATTCCACAATCGCAGCCTCCTGGGATCACTTCCCTGCCAATCGCCAGCTTCCAGATGAATCGCCAGGCTAAAAATAGCCTTTCAGAGCCTCCCAGGCCTCTGAGTATCAATCGCCAATCACGCCTGCACAACCCTAGTCAGGAGTGAGTCACTATCCGCCCAATTCTTCTCGCCACACACTCACAACCACCACCCTTACTGACAACAACCCTGAAGATGATGAATCGCCATGAGACTCTACTCCAGTATCTCGCCAGATGATGATCGGTGCTCCAACTCATCAATCGCTTCCTGAGTCTAGATCCAATTGCTCTGATACCAACTGTTATGATTCTGGTCATCTGTTGTCTGAAGACCAGGTATGCCCATACATACACAGAAGGAAGGGGAGAGGATAGGAGTATCACACCGCGCAGGGAGAGATAACACATCGGGAGACTTGACCATGCGATATGACAGGGTACACTGAAAGTGCAATTCACTCCACTCAATCCTCACAACCAGTCATAGAGAAAAGCCGAGAAGATCACATCCAGGAAAACAATGAAACGATGATAGTCCAAACCCAGTTATACACTTTTTTATTAAACTCAGAGTCTCGAATTGTCAGGATAACTTAAGAACTACAGTGTGCTGCTCAGAAATGAGCAGCGCTTCACTCCCCAACCCTGATTAACACCCGTAACACCCCTGAGCCCTTGAAACATCAAGCGCCACCCAGATACAGCCTCCTGAGGGAAGCGCCACCCTGAAACAGGCCTCTGAGGCCAATCGCCACTCAGAGGATGAAGAAGAAGACCAACGCCACAGTATCTAATGATGACGAGGTGTCGGAAGACTTCCCGGGTGGAAGTCTGCAGCAGCGCCACCAACCCTGACAAGATGACCTCTGAGGAAGAAAGTTGCAGCTATGGCTGCAGTGCCAACACCCTGAAACCCCACTCCGGAGGAGGGTGCAGCAGGGCACCAATCTCTCTCGCCTCTAGCAGACCTCGATAACCCAAACCTCTGTCAGCCCCTGCGTGCTGGCAGAGTACAGCGCAGGTCCCAGCTATGGCCGGCGCTCCGAAGGTCTGGCTATGCCTGTCTCCTTCCACGCTGAGTCGTCACCACTTCCGGTCCAGGCGTAGCACAACAGCGATGTACTCGGTACCAACTGCCAAAAGCCCTGAACCGAT